GAGCCAGCGCGTTGATCTCCATCGTGTACCGCATATGCGGGTCTAAGAGCTTAAAGATTGGGTGCATTGCGCTCAGTTGCCTGTGTGCTGCCAGTATGAATGGCTCTAGGCTCGCGTGCGTCCGCAACCTGTTGCCAAATAACCCAATTTAACGCCCATTATGAATCTTACTAAACTTGTAATTGGACTAAAGTTTTTCAATGGGTTCGATTGATTACCAGTGGTTAACGAGTTGATGGACTCCGGCGTCGTTGGAGCAGACGTGAGACTTGGCGAGCTGCCATAGCCAGTTGCTGGTGGCGTCGGCAGGTGGAGTCACGATGCGCTTCGATCGAGAACTTGGTCCGGTTGGTGGAAGGCTGAGCTCTATGGCGATAGGTTTGAGAGTTCCGAGCGGAGTCAAGAAGAAGATTGTGCGAGTTGCATAGGCTTTCCGGCCGTCGAGAGCGTTGATCCGATCGATAAATGGAAGGTAAACATCATGGTAGTCCACTATAAACAATTTCTTTTCATCCAATGCCTGTAACAATCGAAGCAATTTGAAGCGAGATTATGTTAGAAACTTAGAATCTCAACTGAAATGTGGTAGTCATTTTAGGGGGAAAAAGTCAGAGTGATTGGTTAACATCTTGATGTGATAATTTACCTGCTGCACGGTCATTCCATTTAGTTGGCCGAGAATATGTTCTTCTTTAAGGGAAGATTCCTGTGGACCATAAACGTCGGGATCAAGGTTGCTTACTGGAGGGAAAACCTTGAGCCTCTCAATGTTGACTGGGTTTACTCCTGCTATTGCTTGGCGGCCGAATTCGTCATCTCGCAACCAGGCAAACTTGTCCTCTGTAAGTTTGATACGACGCACACATTAATTATGATAAATATTTCTGAGTGATTGGGTTTGTCAAATTGCATTCAAGTAAAAATTGTTTTGAATCTTTTGTTAGAAAATTAATCTAGGCAATCCAAATTATCAAAGTAGATGACGTGTTCAATAGTTTCTCAGATTTCCTAGTGAATTTGCATATATGAATGATACTTTTGAAGGCTGATGATGACACTTACTGGAAAGGATCTTGGGCGTGTTGTATCTTAGCAGTCCTTGGCTGGACTCACTCACAACTCTTGGCAGTGGGAGCTTCTTCAGGAGTTCATCTTGCAGGCCTAATTTAAGGAGCACCCCTTCACTGTAAAGGCTGTCAATGTCTGAAAACCCATGGAAATCTTGTTTATTTGACCGAATGCTAGCTTTGAGAGATGGAATTAAGTTGTGAAGAACTGCCTTAAGCCTCCCAAGAGAGAAAGTGGTTTGCTTAGACTCCTCAAATTGTTCATCTCTTGGCACGTACATGGGTAACGGTTTCTCAACTCGACTCTCTGCTGTTATATCTGTAGAGTATACTACTATTAGATATGGTTTTATAAAGCATCTGCTAATCATTGTTATAATTGCAAATGATGGTGTCGGATTTTACCCGTGTCGGTAGGGGCACGTCCGGTGCGACACCGTCTAGGATATGGAATTTTCTCGCCACCAAGCCTTGGCCGAGCAAATTCTATTCCCTTGTCTGGATTTCCCAAGTCGTTGTACACATCAAAGTCATATACTCTATCAGAAAGTTTTCTTTCTTCTTTCCCATCACCTCTAATGTCTTTAAGCTCTTTTTCTCTTAATGCTTTAATCCCTGCAGGTGTCTCACCCGGTAGGTAAGGCTGCACAATTGTACAACAAATTAGATAATCCATTTAACAATCCACGGACCAACACTAAAAGAGATCAAATATGTTATTTTGTAGGAAGATTCATTTATAATCTAAGCTGTTTTTGCTTTCTCATTTATGCTTGGCATGCTAATGATAGAAAAATAAGTAAACTGAATGACTCAACAGCAGTTTAGTTTGGTAGGCTGAATTCTGGGTCCACAGGCAATCTTATCAATCAAATAGTTGAGCAGATTCAGAATTGTAGAAAGGAATGAAAGAAATGAAGAAAAGTTTCAAACGGAAATGAAATGCCTGTAAGTTTCCCCCGTTTTCTTTTCACCTCCCAATGGTCAAGATAATAGTGTCATTCATTACAATGACAGAAGGACGTGAAGACATTAAAAGCAGAAATATGAAAGAATACATCACATCAGCTTTAACTCGCATTATCTCGTAAAGGTCTTTATTATTAGTTGAATACAAATTACAAAAGCTGAACCGAGAAGAAAAGGTAAAAAAAAAAGTCACCTTATTAGAGAAAAATATCCTTTTTGCAGGGTGATCTTTTCTGGACTGAACCCAGGAATTGCAGGGAAAATGAATAGGATCGCTTGCAAATTGCTCGAGTGTGATAGTCTCTAAGAAGAATTCCTGCTGGTGCTTGTTGACAATCGTGATTGCTCCCGGCTCTCCAAAGTCCGAGGTCAGTAAAAACTCTGCTGTGTAATTTACCCTCTCCGCTTTTACATTGGTTTTCTTTGACCAATCTTTTAGCACGGCTTCGTTGCTTTTCTTTGGAGCGTTTGTTTCTTCAATGATCCAAAACACAATCAATTCAGTAAATCTCTCTTTAAGATTCAGACAGATTCATATTCAGGGAAGAAATCTTACAAAAACTAGAACAGTCAACTTAAAATATGAAAACAAGAGAACCCAGAAGAGGAAAACTTGAACATACAACTCCCAGAAACAGAGAGAGAAAAGCCAAAAGAAAGGGGGGAAATAATGGCTCACTTGGATCAATCTCAGTGCTGATAAGTTGAAGAACAACGTTCTGGCCAATCTTATCGGTGAAAGCATCCAAATGCTTAAATATTGTCTCCTTGAGGTCTTCCTTGTTCTTGTTTCTTATAGTCACAACGGCTCTCACCTTGAACTTGACGGGCTTCTCGGCCAAGGGCAGAGCCTTGATCAAATCCTCACTAATTGCAGCCACAGGGCCGCTCACAGCCTTCCTTAAATGCACCACCTTCATCTTTTCCCCTGGAACCCAAATTGGCCTGAACTGCTTCTCAAAACTGCCACTTTGAAACAATTTAGACGAAGAAACCAGTGATGATTTTTGAAGAAAAGATGATCCGATCATTTCATTCGCCAGTGCCATCCCCCCGTTTTCTCTCTGTCCTGTCCTACTGTTTGGGATGTGGGAAGTTGGAAGTTGTTTTTTTTTTCTTTTTTGAAGCAGAAGAGATGGGAAACGGGGGGGTTGGAAGAGAGTGTTGAGATAAATAGTAGGAAGCAAGTTCCCTGTTGATTCCGGCCTCTCCACTGCCTTCTCTTTTTATACAACCTTGAGAGAGGAAAACGCCAAGGGTGGAAAGAGAGAGTAGAGAGAGAGAGAGCAGCTTTTTTCTTTCATGGATCTCACCGTCCACACGTTTTTACAAGAACTTGAAAGGTTGACATACTATTACTTTATGTTTTTTATTTTTTATTTTAACTTGAGATTTCTTTTGAGAGTAACACTAAATTATTGGTGGATCAAAAAAAAAAAACATTAAATCATTGGGGGAGGGGTCACTTTGGTGGTAAATATCCATAATATTGAAATCCTGGCTAAATTATAGAAAGTATCCCTGAATTTTAACCCACTTTGTGAAAATATCCATATCTTTTCAAAAGTGCTATTTACTTGTTTTGAACTTTTCAAAAATACTTTTGAGCAAACTTTTATTAATATTTT